TCTACCTTTAACTAAGAGTATGTGGATCACAACATGTTATTCTCCCAAGTTCCGAGTTTTAAAATGACCCACAATTCAGAATAGAATAGACGAGAATATTCAGATTCTGACAAAAAAAACAAAGACTACAATGTTCAGATTCTGACCAAAAAAACAAAGACTAGAATATTCAGATTGAAAAAAATGGAATAGGATTAGTAGCATATATTGTTATCATAGAAATCAAATTCAGTGGCAATTGCTCCAGTGAATATCTTAACCAGAAGACACCACCATCTTCAGATGTTGCTTCACTACAGGGCTTTTACAGGCCTTCTGTTAAAAAAAAAAATTCGTATTTCTGAAAAAAGAAGTTGCTGGGTGATGCTAAATTGCTAATCATGGGATGGATATAGTTAGAATTACTTATAAACAATTTTTTAATCATAATTTTAAAATCTTGTTTATAATTTACAAATAAAATTTTATAATTAAAACTGAAGGTAGAATGTAAAAAATATTTGTCCTAATTTTTACAAAACATGTTTATAAGCATTTATATATAATTGATTTCAAATGAGTGTTGAAAAGAGCGTTTGAATAGAAACCAAGGAACAAAAAACCGGACCGGACACTAAACCGGTTGAGGTAGTGGTTCAAGGGTTAATGGGTCAGACCGGGGTCAACTCGGGATCAAACCGGTCATATTAAAATAATTTAATTTAATTAAAAATGACAAAATATAACAATAATAATAATTACTAATAACAAAATATAAAGAAATACAATAAGAATTTGATTGTAATAATAATAAAGTACAACAATATTGAGAATTTTGATCTTTATAATTTTTTCAATAACTAAAATTAATAGTTATTGATGCCAAACTCATCATCAAAATTCATTTAAATCTATAATAATTGAGATATTAGGAGTTAAATGAGAAAAAATAGGATAAATATCAATATATTTATTTAAACCGGTTCAATACCGGTTTTTACCGGTTTTCACTGGTTCACACCGGTTTGACCGGTTCAATCCGGTTTGAACCGGTCCCCGGTTTAGCTTATGAACCGGACCGGACCACTGACCGGTTCACCGGTTTACCGGTTGAACCGGCCGGTCCGGTCTGGTTTTTTTTACACTGATAGAAACCAAAACATAATTTTAAAAATATTTTTACAATTTACAAAATAAATATGTAAAGGAGTTTATCTCGTTTTGTGAAAAAGTACTTCTCAGAAGTACTTTTTCAATGTTGTCAAATACTCCCGAAACAAATGCCTCGGACCGTGGCCTCCTACTCTCCTTACTGAGACCTACAGTTGGTAGTACACTTTTGTGTTTACGTTGGGCTTTATGTTGGTCTCACTCTTCAATGTTTGGGTTGCACTTAGTTTCGTTGTTCTCCACCATGCGGAGCTGATATGTAAGGAAGCCCATGACTTGTCACTCATGATAGTTACTAATGTTGAACAATATTACCAACAGAATTAAGTCTAGCAGAAGGGATTAGTTTCTGACAAAATAACAAATTAATATTCGAATCTCCACTAGGAGAGGCACACACATTTAGTGCTCAACAGTACCCTCAAATAGGATTGTTTCTAATAAGAGGATACCTATGCTTTAGCAAAAAAAATATTGAACAATATTGTCTTTGTATAAAAATAAAAATCAAAGTAAAATTGTAGCAAAAAATAAAATAAAAATCAAAGTAATAAAAGTTGAGTGTAGTGAGGGAGATTAGTCTCTAATAATGCGATAAACTAAAGCTCAAATCCTCACTAAGAGAAATACTCATATTTAGTGTTCAATTATGTTTTAAACAGAATTGTCCCAATAAAAAAATGTCTTTATAAAGAAAAAAAATCATAAGAAGACAATAGTAATCCAAGGAAAGTTAATTTGGATAATTAGTAATAATTTCTAAAATTAGGAGAAAACGTGCTCCAATGAGCCAAAATTCGTACGATTGAACCACTTTAAAAATTTTATGTGTAATTTTATACCTAAAAAAACTTATAATGTTTAGTGCCAGCATTTTAGGAGTAAAATTTTTTTTTCCTAGCATTTTAGGAGTGAAATTTACACTTCAACCCTTTTTTTAGGAAAAACTGGGGATAAATCCCTCATTGAAAATTTAATTGGATCATTAAAAAAAAATTTAATTGGTAAATGGGATTTAAGGATTTTGTGCAACTTAACTTCTTTTTATACAACTTATCTTCCTTTGTGTGTAATATATCTTCTTTTGTGCGATGTGCAACTCAATTTCTTTTTGTGCAAATGAAATTTTTTTTATGTGCAAATCATTTTCTCTATGCGCAAACTAATTCCTTATATCCAAATAATATTTTGTGCAAACTATCTTCTTTCTGTGCAACTTATCATCTTATGTATGCAACTAATCTTTCCTTGTACAATCAATCATCCTAGGTCTCATTTACCAATTAAGTTTTTAATAGGGGATTTATCCCTAATTTCTCCTTTTTTTAATGTTTTAATCGCGGGTCACAAGTCAGCAAGTCTTTTTCCCACCGCAGCACCAGCATCCACTAGATACTGGACAAGTATTTATACCACATGAGGAAAACATGGATAAATTTATCATTTTCCCGTTTTTAGATATTTCATGTTGAAGTTTAGTTGGAGATTGTGTTTGAAGGTTGATGACTCTTTCTTCTGCACATTCCATCTATACAATCTGCAGAGATGCAGCAGGAATCGCCGGTACTTCTCGTCTGTGTGTTAGTTTCTGGGTTTTTAACCTTTCGCTCATAAACCCGACAAAGAAAAGCCCCGTCTTCTGGGGATCAGTCCTTTAACCCATCGTTTTCCTTGACTTTATGCAGGGAACATATTTGCTTTGGGCTTGTTTGTTTCGCCCGTGTAAGTTTTTCTCTGGGATTTCTTGAGCACAGAAGAACTTGAAGAGCTTACTTCCTTACTTAAACCTTGTTCTTGTTTGAAATGCAGATCCACATTTAAGAGAATCAACAGAAATGGGTCAACAGAAATGTTCTCTGGGCTTCCTTATATTTATGCTCTGTTGAACTGCTTGATCAGCATGTGGTATGGCTCGCCTCTCGTATCTCCTGATAATATGATGGTCATGTCGGTCAATTCAATTGGAGCTGTGTTTCAGTTAGTGTACATAATTATCTTCATTGTATATGCAGAGGAAGCAAAAAAGGTTACTCTTCTGAAAACTTTTAAACTTGTATATGATGATACCACAAGACAATTAATTAGATTGTCATAATCTAAGACCTGCGATTTGGTAGGTAAGAATGATTGGATTGCTGCTGGCTGTTTTGGGGATATTCGCAATCGTAGTAACTGTAAGCTTGCAAATAATTAATCATTCAACGAGGCAAATGTTTGTGGGATTTCTGAGCAGTGCTGCACTCATATCAATGTTTGCCTCTCCCTTGTTTATAATTGTAAGTTTCAGGTGCGCTAAAATATCTATCCAAACAAGTATGAACACATGCAAATTAATCTTAAAAAGTATCTGCGTCTTAATTGAAAAGTATTCTTGCTTCATGGTATACATCAAATGTAAATTTTTCTGCATCATTCAGCTTAGTTCATTGACTTTGGTGGTGAATCCCAGTGTTTTTTTTTTCCTCCAGAAATTGGTGATACAGACAAGGAGCGTTGAATATATGCCATTTTATCTCTCTCTTTCCACCTTCCTAATGAGCACCTCTTTTTCTCTTTATGGATTGCTCAATCAGGATGCTTTCGTTTACGTAAGGTTCCTTTTCTTTTTGCAGCTGACTCTCATATGGGATTTATAATGTGCATGTAACATCACTTTGGCATTCATCTGTGTTTGATTTTTTAGGCACCGAATGGGGTAGGAACCATTTTGGGATTGATACAGTTGGTATTATACTTCTATTACAAGAGAGCATCTGTGGAAGAATGTCGAGAACCTTTGATAGAGCCATATGCATGACACATTTCGACAAGAAGTTAAAAGTCAGATACACATCTTATCTGTTCTTTCACGGCCTGTGATGAAATTACTGGGGGGCTTTTTGTTGTAAAATGCAATGCTCAAATGAAAGACAGTAATGGGGCATGCTGTTTGTGCGAATAAGAGGATGGAAATCCTTGTATTCGTAGAATGATATTCAATTATTCATTTCCACCTTGATGCTTGAAAGATAAAAGCACGCTGGCACTATTGCTTCAAGAAAGTTATTGGACAAGACTTTTGGGTGAGCAGTATTTCTAAAGAATGCGTGTACTGTAATTCACGTAGCTGATTCCATCTAGTGGAGTAAGGTTTATTATTGTTGTTGTATTACTTTGAAACAAAACTAAAAATTATTTGTTCTATCCTTTGTGTTCGACAAATCTTCCAGTGCCTGTATATATAGCTTTATTTCACTTTTGCGTAAATATTAAGTTATCAGAAATCATTTAAAAAGAATCTGAGCCCATCTACATTCAAGGCAATTTAAAACCTGCATGAGTCGCATTTATATTTTAGTCTCTGATCTAGATTGAATGCTATGGTTACTTCATAGATTCTAAATTAGTCTCTTGCCTTTTGAAATTTATGGTGAACAATGACATCTTGTTTTAATTCTTCAGGTGACTTTTTCTGACGGTTTGATTAACAGCGTAGGTGAATCCTTGCTGCTTTCACATGATTCTTGAAGCAGATAATTTAACACCACATGATTCTTAAAGTTAATAGATCATTATAAAAATAAAGTTTTTTGATAAATTTGGAAGGCGAGCAATAATTGTGTCTGCTTCTATATTTTCCAAGTGGTCCTCAAGTTCCTAATGTTCTATTCTATTTCTGTGTGTCTTTCCTTTTTTCTGGTTTTACTGCTGTCTATGCTGTATATAGAATTGTGGGATTGAAGCTTTTTATTCTTATTTAGATTGGTTCAGTAATTATCAATGAAACGGAAATACATTGCTTCAATTTGGTAAGATGATCATTCCATACCATAACTAGGTCACATGTCTCTACTGTAAAAAGTTGGATGCCTTTTACAACTTACATGGAGCAGGAATTAAGAAGATAGTAGATCTCTTAGAGTAGTTCTCATAGAGCCAATTGCTTTATCCTGCACAAAACAACCACAAAATTAGAAATAAGTATGTGAAGCTTAGTCTACTTCTCTTTTATTGATCAGATCTACTTGTGAGTCTAATATGACAGATAAGTAATGTATAACTTGTCAGGAACGTTTTGTTATTTATTAAGTTCTGATTCTGATATACCATTTTGACTACCTGTGGGCAACAAGATGCAGACTGGATCACAATGCAAGGAATAATTAACGGTTCATCCCACTATTTGTCTTTACCTCACTATGTTTTAGCATCATTGAGCTTGAATATATCAAGAAGAACCGGGTTCTGTTACCATGCAATGTAAGAATGTCAAGGTGACAGATTGATTACCTGATTCAAACTTCCATTGTAGTTAGTTTCCTCCTCAGAATGCCTAAGCAATCTTCCCTTTTCATCATAGAGAATAAGGCCACTAAACCTTGGTAGCTCACACTTCTCCCCCCTCAGTATAGGCCTTTGCCACACTGCAGACACTGAGTTATGACTCTGCCTTCCAATTTCAACACCATTCCTTTCTAATCCAAGCAGCTTCCTCTGGCTCCCCACATTCTCCTTCCACTTGCATGCCCGGCTCCATCTAACTGACCCCATTAGCACATTTTTCACCGAGATCCAGCTGCACCCCGGCTCTGAGCCTGAGCCTGAGCATTCTGTAGTGCTAGTTTCAGCCTCACCGTCACCAATGTCACCTTCTTGGTGTGCAATTCTGTTCTTCCTTGCCTTCCTTTTGAGCACAACAAATGTGCAGACTGCAGCAAGTGAAAAACATGCAGAGGCTAGTATAAGAAGAGCCCCTTGGGTTGAAAGCTTGAGCTTGTCTTCAAAGTCCCACAAGGCTTCTGCCATGAATGTGTAGAGTTTGCGGGTGTGTAAGGATGTGAAGTGAAGTGAGAGATGAGAGTGAAAAGGAATATATTTGGTGAGTTTGAGAATGGAATATGGAAGAAGAAAAGAAATGAGCATGTGGGGTTGTGAAAGACGCAAGCTTCTCATGAGGGTCCACCGCTAGTTAACATGAGTTGAAATAAGTGCCGTCATTTACATCTGTGGGACATGGCTTGTGTGTTTTTAGCCGTTCAGTGGGTTGAGACCCCTGAGGAATCTCACCGTTCAAAGCTAATAAAGGCTTTACACGGGAACCTTGTCAACCCAACTCAGAAAACTAGATAACGATAATTATTATGAAATTTTTAAAAAACTACTACTAATTCTTATAATGGTTAAGAGGTTGGTATTGGTTTATAGTAAATTGATGAGCCATTGATTTTTATTACTCTCAACGGTGATTTCATCATGCATTATTGTGGCTCCACAACCATAAACTGCAACTGCAGCGGCAATTAATATGCAATGCATCAGTGAGGAGTGAATGATGTTTACTTCTTTATGTCAAAAACACAAGTCAGTCCCAGAAACTTCTTATGGCCCAAGTAAATGAACTTTGGGTGATATATATGCGTTAATAATCCCCCCTCCCCCCTCCAAATAGAGTTGACTCTAATAGAAGAGACTAGTTCCTCACAATATGATGAATCAAAGTTCGAATTTCTACTCGAAGAGGTGTTTATATTTAGTGTTCGATAGTGCCTTAAATAGGATTGCCTTTAATAGGAAAATACCTATGCTTTAACCAAAAAAAAAAAAAAAATCCCCCTCACCCATTTTTGGTCGGTGTTTAGGATCTCTTAAAATAATTCTGTGTTTTAAGAGATAAATTTTTTTATATTTTTAATTTATATAATGCAAAAGTTTTTTTTTTAAATAATCCAAACGGATATTTGAGTGAGAGCTAAAAGTCGATTTGCAAACTTTTAAATGCGAAGCGTTGTTTGGTTAATTTTTTTTTTTAAAATATCCATTTGCAATATTTTTGGATGTTTACTTGCCAAAGAGCTAGTCTATGCTAGTTTTCTTTTTTCTTGAATTTAGAATGCATGCATTGATGGGCTAATATTAGAAGCAAGATCAAATTCATGACTTCTTATTTATAAGAAATTTCATGTCATTAGAATACAAAATCGTTAAATTTTTGAATAATTTTTACTCTTTCAGTTGCATTGCAATGTAAAAGGTGATTTAAATTACATTTTAAACAACTTTTAATTTATCAGATTGGCTTTTCAAAAAAAGTATTCAAACAAAAACTCAGTTATAATTACTAATTGCCAAATTCACTTTTAACAAATGAATTTTTCATAAACGACTTTTACAAGGCAAGACCACCTTCTCACCACCCTTTTTTTTTTTTTAATAACCTTTTTCTTTGTTTTTTCCCCCTAAAAAACTTGGGTTAATTAAATTCTCATTGGCTCAAGCTGTCCCGCATTCTTTATTTGATAAATAATTTTTTATTTTCAATAAATTCAGACTATTTAAGTTGATTAATTACGTTTTTAAATGAATCATTATCCTTTCACCCTGGTCCAAAAAAATTATCCTTTTAGCAAAAAAATAATCTTTACCTTGTCAAATGTAAAAAAGTCAAAGCTTATTACTGAACAAAGGGTATTTTCCTAGTAAAAATTTAACTAATTTGTCAATTAGAAAAAAAGTCAATTATAATAACTAGTTTCTTTGGTTCTTCTCCTCCTTTTTTAGGCCAACCTCATTTCCTTGCCTTCTTTCATCCTCTGGCCTTCTTGATTCTGATTCTGATCACTGGGGAGAGAATTCTCAAGCTAGGGCTTTTCTCAAATCAACGGTTGAATCTAAGATGACTAAAATCGCCGCATGAGCCCTCAATTCGCTCTCCCTTACAGATTCTGCTCCTGAGAGGTCTGTCATCTTTTCCCTGCATGAGATAGGTATTCTGAAATTCCAAGGTTTTCATTGGCAAGAACGCATTGTTTAATGATTCTTTTAGTGTTACATTGTCTATAGAAATGGGGCGGGCTTTATATTCTATGATATGTATTTTACTTATGTTCCCAAATAGTCGAGTCTGTCGGCTGCATTTCTCATAATTTTCTCACCCTCGTTCTCCTGGGTTGTGGTGGGTCGGGTTTCATTTTGAGCTGCTAGGTTTTATCGGTACTGAAACTGAATGGTTCGGCTATGAATTTCCCTCTACAACTTCGTTAACGTTTCGGGTAAAATTTTACTGATGAAAGGGTCTTAAGCAAAGTATTGAAGGGCAAAGATTGTGGTTTTGTCTAGCGGTTTCATCCCTTGCCCATACTTTTCTGCACTTAGTGAAGCCCCCCCCCCCCAATTACATTTTTATGATTTCACATCTCTTTTCTTTTCTTTTTTTTTTTCCTCTGGGCTTTTACTTGGAACTGATTTTTATTTTCAGATTTGAATTTGCATATTTATAGGCTTATTGGTTAAAGTGGGTGTTCTTGGTTTTAAACACGACACAGTTATTTGTTTAAACTTCGTAGCTGACTTTTCTGCAGCTTTTGCTTTCGAGAGTGTCCATATATTTCTTGGTGTCTGAATTTTTTGGCATACCATGTCGGGAAGAAATCGTGGACCTCCTCTTCCAATGAAAGGTGCTCCTCATGCTGGACTACCCCCTCCGATGCATGAGCCTCCTTTTGGTGGCAGAGGGCTAGGGCCATTGCCGCACCCAGCTCTACTAGAAGAGATGAGGGAATCACGTTTGGGCCCGAGACCCCTTCCTCCTCACCCTGCTATAATTGAGGAGCGTCTTGCTGGTCAACATCAAGAAATTCAAAGTCTATTAGTGGATAACCAGAGGCTGGCTGCAACCCATGTGGCTCTGAAACAAGAACTGGAAGCAGCCCAGCATGAGCTGCAGAGGATGGCACATTTTGCAGAGTCATTGAGGGTAGATAAGGATGTGCAGATGAGAGAATTGTATGATAAGTCTGTCCGAATGGAGGTGGATCTTCGTGGGGTTGAAGCTATGAGGTCTGAACTTGTTCAGGTTCATTCCGATATTAAGGAGCTTACTGCTGTGAAGCAGGAACTCACTGGTCAGGTTCAACTAATGACACAAGATTTAGGCAGAATGACGGCAGATTTGCAACAGGTCCCTGCTGTGAGGGCAGATATTGAGGCTATGAAACAAGAGTTGCAACGTGCAAGGTAGTCTCTTTGTGTGTTTGTCTTGTATATGATTGAAAACCTTGTGTACCTTTCACTAAAAATGATTTATTGTGTGATTTTTTCCTGGGCTTGTTGGCTTATAGAGCTGCCATTGAGTATGAGAAGAAGGGGTATGCAGAAAACTATGAACATGGTCAGATGATGGAGCAGAAGTTGATCACAATGGCTCGGGAGCTGGAGAAGCTACGTGCTGAGGTTGCTAATGCTGAGAAAAGAGCACGTGCCTCTGCAGCTGTTGGAAACCCAGGTATCTAATGATCAGCTTGTGAAATAGTGATATAGTCTTAACGTGGGCAATCAAGGGATGCAATTTCTTCTATGTGCATGCAGCCACATAGTAATGATGTAATCTTAATCATTATCATCTAACTGTGATAGTGATGTGAAGTGGAATGGGATCTACTTTTTCTTTTGAACATTTTATCATTGTGGTGGTTTTTATAGCCAACTATGACATTCATGCTTGGGCATTTTTTCCCTAATTGACACACCTCATTCAACTTTGTGAATGCTTTCTCAATTGTTTTTTCTATCCTTTGTTTTAACATTATCAGCAGGTCCAGGTTATAATGCAAACTATGGCAGTGCTGAGGTTGGGTATGCTGGAAATGCTTACGCTGTCAACTATGGCATGAATCCTGTAAGTTTGCATTCGCGTCTGAAATTAAGTACACTATGGATGAACAGACTTGAATATTAATTAGCTCAAGATCACTCATGATATGCCAAACTTGAACTTAACCTGAATTAAAGTTGCCATTTATTCTTTAATTTATTTTTTTTTAGGGCCGATTCTTGATTCTTGCTGAGCTTTATAATATTTCTTTAGCTGTGAGCAGAATCCTACCAATTTGAGTGCAACTACTGAATTGATGAGTTGCAATCGGTAATTGTTGGATTTCTCAGTAAAGTTGTCCCATGATTTTAAATACAAAACGTGTATGATGTTTGTTACTGGATTCAAATGTTCAAGTTTGGTGTTCTTGTCCTAAAAATATTCTATTTGGTTGCAAGCTAAATCAGTGTGAACGTATAGTATGGTCTTAAGCTTCGCTATTGAAGAAAAGCCTTGATAAGATTGTGTAACTTACAAATGATTTAATTTTACCCCTAAATGTATCAAGTGGATGTTGGTGGGTGCTTTTATTATGCCTGTTTCATGGGAATATGAGGACCAATTCATTATCTTGCTTAGGTCACTTTGGATATCATTCTTTGCTGGTAAATTTCAGGTACCGTCTGGTGTGGAGAATTACCCTCAGTATGGACCTGGACCTGGCGCTTGGGGTGCATATGACATGCAGCGAGCTCAAGGACACAGATAGATTTTCTCTATCTTGCTAAGCAATCTCATAACTGGTATCTTGGGCTGCAACTTTCTAGATGATTAGTTTAGGGTTTAAGTGGTTTTCTATTCATGAACATCTTGGGATTGTGTCCTTTAGGTGCTTGTTGAAGAGCTGAAGTTGTACTTTATTGAAATTGTTACTAGATTGATCTTGCAGTTACATTATATGATGTTTCTCCATGTTGTCTTCAGTACGATAAGTGTTCTTTGTAGTTTTTGTTGAGGATGTGGCACTCATGCTCATCTTTCTCTTGATCTTTGGCATGAGTTCTTCCTCTAGCCGTTTCTCCTGGAAAATTTAAATTTCCATATTTAAAATCCTTTCTGGATTTAAGAGTTAAAATTTTAACATATGAGCTGCTGTCCCTTTGCATTGCCAAGCCCTTATGGGTTGTGCGTTGCCAAGCCTTTTATGGGTTGTGCGATTCAAGTCTTCAAGTTCCGCCTGGAAATGCAGGGTAACATTCTCTGTTTAATGTCTTTCACTATTTGAATCCTGAAATACAATTAAGTTGGAAACCTATCCCCCTTGCAGCTTTTCATCCATTGCCATATAAATTAAATTGTACAGGTACTTTGGCCTGTTTTCTGTCCCGTACATTACACTGCAAGGTTTAGTTGGAGGCTATGAATTGTTTTTGTTCATGATCATGTGCAAAATAATTCATATTAATACCTAGGGGGACCGTATTTTGGGTTAGTAAAAAATATTCGGGATATGGGGCAATTCTTGAATATGGAGGATCACTATAACATAATAGTATTGTTGGGTAGAGACCATTTTGAGTAGTGATAGAAAAAAAAGTAACGCCTTTGGTATTGATGCTGAGGCTTTCTATGAAGTTCTTAAAAGCAAGAAGAAAATGGAGAAGGGAAAATAGAAGAGCTGATAAACATAGAGGCGACCTTTCCTAGGCTTTTTACTAAAGGTGATCTAGGATTGCTAAACACGAGGAAATCCTTGGAATGAAATACGATTGAATAAGTAAAAATTTATTGCATCACACTTTTTTTTTTTTTGAGACAATTCTTTTGCAATAACTATTGTCATTTTTCAATTTTGATTGTTATGGGGATTACTTTATCACCGATTCAAAGAGATTGAAGGGAATTGTTGTTATTATCCACTTTCTAATTTCTCTTTTTGTTTGATGTTATATTATAAGAAGATGTGTCATTCTATGCTTTATGATACATAATTTCAAACACAGGCACTTCTTAATTGAAGTGAAGACATTCTTTTGTAAAATGAGGCAGGACTTGGCATTATGTTCTGACTTTATTAAAATACATTCTGCATTCTCATATTCGTGTTAACCAAGCATAGTCTTGCTAATGAAGAATGGAAAAGAAAATTAGGGGCAGTGATAGTAATTATTTGTAAATCAGGGATTTTGAATAAACACATTAATTAGGAACTAGTCTATTGGTTAAAATCTTTTATTTTAAAATATCTCTTGTTAGGCTTAATTATTCTTTAGCTAATTATTTTCATATTTTATTTATATCTTGTTAGGAGTTATCTCCTGGGCTTAATTTAAAATCCTCAGCAGTTAAATTCGGCTTATATACAAATCTATTATGAATAAAGTCCAGATTCCCTTTCTAGTCCCCTTCCCCCAATTTTCTTCTATAACCCCCGCTGGGGGGAAAAAATCCTATTATTTCTATTTTTCTTGCATCGCTGATCAAGTTAGAGAATATAATTTCAAGAAAGTTGTGTACCCACTGAAGAGGTTGTAAAATGTTTCTTGAAATCTAGTTGGTGATTGGGGTAAGCCTGGGGTTGTAAAATAGTTTGAAAACTAAGATGTTGAGTTGTAGTATGCGATGCTTTCGGAAAGTTTTCTTTCTAAACCCTATTATTTTCGTATTTGAGTTGTAGTATGTGAGTGTGGGAATAAGGTTACTCAGGCTCGTAGTTGTGAACCTCTCAATTTGTGCGTGTCTGTAGTCAGATTTTATGTACATGTTGGCAGCCTGGAAGGAAAGGACAGAACTAAAAGATATCTCTCCTTCCGTTAAATTTTAATAGGCTTTCTAGCAAAAATTGTGGAATATATTGAAGGTGTACAATCTTTGTGGGACCTGCTTTTCAAGTTGCCTGCTAAAAATTCCAGGTTGATATTTTGTTCTAATGTCACGTAAAGAAGGATTTGCTGCTCTTAAACTGTTGTTTTGAGTTACTGATGCCCTTGTGACATAGTGGTGCAAAAATTCATTTACAAGTGGGAAGTGGTGGGTTCAATCTTGCTCGTTATCTCAAGCTTAGCTTGCCCTTGTAATCGATCACACACACATGATTAAGAAAAAACCTCTTCTTTTTTTTTCCCGTGAAAGTTTTACTATTTTGAAATATGTGTTACCACTGCCTCCTAGCCTAAAGCCTTTTTAGGAGGATTGGGAAGAGCCTTAATATATGGCAACATCTTTGAGGTGAGATTCTGATATGGCTTTGTTGAGATTTTCCCTGGCTTTTATTTTCTTAATCTTTATATGTTGCACTCCCCTTCCCCTCTCCTTAAGGGCCACATATCCCTTCAAGTTCAAGTTCAGGGAACTCCAGTCTTCCTTTACTAGCATGATTTGCATAGCTCTGAGAAATGATCAAATGTTCCACAGAGAACATTGAATTATCAGTTGAACACGTTCTTTAACTTCAAAATAAAAACCTCAGTATTTCCCAAGAATCTCTCAAGCACTATAGCTTTTAAGATAGATCAAAGTCATGTTATTATCAACCGATGAAATTTTGTTTCTTAAAATGCATGCCTTTTTAACAAGTAAATCTGTCCCCTTCCTTGGGATATTTTTTATTTACAGATTACTTTTATTCTGTGATTTCTTTTATCTAGTTATTTATGATGAGTGACCTGGAAGCTTTGGCAAATCCAGATTTTATACTAGGTATTTTTAAACCCAGCTGGCTGCTCTAGTACCAAATCATAAAGGCTATGCATCAAATTGCATACCAATTTCTTACATTTTCTTGTGGCAATCTTGGAACTGAAAAACACCTTGAGTAGTTTTTCTGCCCACTGTGAGCCTATCTTTCCTGTTTCTGTGGTAGAGGCCATTTTCTGTTAGCTTCTCAGGTTTTATACTGTAGTCCAATTTTCGAGAAGCTGAGTAAATCTAATTTGTCACTGCAGCTGCAAATTTAAGGGCAATATGCCTCTTGTTGTTCATGCAGTCAGACTAGCCTAGCAGTTGTTTAACCAATTTAGGTCTAGATAAACTGGCAAGACATTGATATAAACTTATAGGAAGAAAAATTTCCAATTGTTGAACTTTTAGTTGTAAAGTACAATTCTCTCCTTCACGAGTTTGGTGTGAGGCTGCATTGAAGGAGTACTGTGTTCTATTGGGAAGTTATTTTTCCATTTCCGAAGCAGCCACCCATATTTGTAGCTTGATGCTGTTACTGGAAAGATACATTCAACACTGGAGCAGCTGAATGGGTTCTTAGTTGAGTAAGTTATGCAGCTTGCCAAATGGTAAATTCTTTTGTTTGTTTTCCTTTTCGATTCCCTCCTATGTGTGGCAATGAATGTAACAATCTCCTATTCCATTCATTGATGCCAATGTTTCTTTTTAGGCCGGTAGGAAACTGCTCATAATGATGAATGAGATAACAGCTCTTGTCCAGTGTTAGATCAGAATTTTTTATTTTATTGGGTGTTCCACTCTGTTTATTATTTCGGGTCGATTGAATTTGTTTTGTTGGTTGACCACTGATTGGTTTCTCGCCTCATTTGCTCTATCCAAGCTATGGTCTGTGTATAACTTGTTAGTGTTTGTGGGCTTTAAAGCTGAGATTGACAAAGCTTGCTTATCATAGTGAGGGACTAGGTGATGTCCAGAGGCGGTGTCAAACTAAAGAAGTTATTTATGAGTAGATCTGTTGATGCGCTGAAGGATGGCTTTTGATTGTTCAAGTTTGTAGTAGACCCATAATATAGTAAGTTAATTATATAGAGAAGGTCACCTTGATCTCCAAATTTCATATCTCTTGGCGAGGATTTTTTCTTGATTTTCACTGATAGCCAAGATTGAAGTGGGTGACAATGAATTATTTCTCCGTCATATAGTAAGTTGATTGTTCAGAGAAGGTGACATTGATCTCTTCTCCAAACTCCAGATCTGTGAGGGTATTTGGTTAATTTTCACCAATAATTTATACAAGGCATGACAATTTGCTGACTTTTTCTTGCCGCGTTTTGCTGCTGAGTACTGCCCTCGCAACCTAACTAGGAAAGAAGAGACAAATGGAGGTCCTTGGGATGACTGTTATAAAGTAGCCTTGTCAATTCTGTTGTCAGTTTTGGCAGTTACTTAGATCCTATGAGCAAGTGTTGCTCACCAAGTTATCTGCGTTGTTGTGTGCGCTGTAGTTCAATAAAATGTTTTCTTTCATCCACACATTCATGTGTTTTGCCAATCTATATATATGAGAGCTACATATCATAGCAACTTAGCTACTATTTATTCCCTTTTGCCATGAATAACATGCGTGTTTTCCTGATCTAAATATTATAACCATAGCAGCCTAACTGCTGTACAAACTTATGTCCTGAAGAGCATCTGTTTTGCTGATCTTTAGATGATGACTACATGCCATAGCAGCTTAACTGCTATTCTAACTCTCGCCCTGAAGTTCAGAATTGGTTTGTTCAATGTGGTTCTGCTTCCCTAATTAGCTGATAATACTTTCCTGACATTGTAAATCTATAAGTTTTTGGATATGAAAAAGCCCACTCAGCCTGCTATTATATTAGTTTCTATCTACCTGTTTTGTCCTAGAATTATGTTATCCTTTTGCCTGTTTCTCAAAAGTGTGCTTTATTGTGACATAGTTGAATCATTTTGCTTTTAGGTCATGCCCATTGGAACCTGTGAACTAATCTGTTGCTGCTGCTTTTGTCATTAGTCACTTCTGAATATTGTCAGGTACTCGTTCGTTTGCTAATTTGCTTTCCATGTTTATCATTTATCATCGTGGTCCCTTTGTTTTTCCATTTTTTTGAATGAAAAATGGCAACTTTTTATATATTCCCTATGTTTCGGACTTCTCACCATCAAAATTATTCATTTCAAATTTTTTTGTTATGTGTTGTGAAAGATAATTGTAATTTCAAATCATTGACTAATTCACACGTAGAAGCCTCTCTTGTGTTTTGATGTGAAATCCTGATTTTGATGACTCAAGTAGATAACTAATATCTTTTTGTCTAATATAGCCTTATAATTCTGAAATTGTAATTTGGACTTAAAAATGACGCTGGATGGGGATAATCTGATATATTTTTGGAAAAGTCATTGGTTGTTTAGGATCAAGGGCTTATTACTTTACTGATCTGTTTGACTAGGGAAATTGCTACCGTCGATTGTTGATGGGAATGAACCTGTTTGACTCAGGTGTTGCTATGAAGATGCAGTGTTTGAAAAGCTCAACGGTAATGCTTTGTTTAGAAGACTCATTGTTATCTTTATAATTTTTGAGTTGTGCTGTTGATCTGGGATTTGAGCATTTGAAGTTTTAATTTATGAATTTGTCCATGTTTGCAGGGTACAAAACCCATTCAGTTTCAACCGGTGTCCATTTGTTGCTTGGAGGTTTATCTACAGAAGGTGACGCGAAAAAACTGGGAATCAAGACAACCTTCGTAGAAGAAAACCACAAGCTACTCGGAACAACCCCACCCCCAAGAAATTAAAAAAAAAAAAAGAAGAGGGAAATTGGTCCAAGTGTTGCTCGCAGCTAGTTCAAGGAACTTCTCGACGCTCACGAATTCGAGCTTATGAATATCACTTGCGCTTGGTTGCTTTGTAAAAAATTTACGAGGGCCCTTCTGTAATATTCTATGGATACAGTTGGAGAAAGATTGATAACTTCCAATGTTGGGGCAACCGCCATTGTTGGCTCCGCTTTTGTGAATATCGATTCTGACCCTAAGCCCCTTATAAGTATGAACTGTTTCAAAGATTGGTAGCTCTCTCTCTCTCTCTCTCTGTGTGTGTGTGGATAGAATCGAAGATCATTAACTTGCTATTTCTTAGGGGAATTGTTTGGGTGTTGCCCAAAACAAGCGATTACTGCTGGCGCATGGGTCGCATAGCAGTAGAAAATTTTCAGAATATCTCAAGCGATCATTGATAAGTTTTAGGATTAGATCCTTTGTCTGCTCCTAGTATTGCTTTCTCGTTCGTGCAAATGATATATCCTTAATATAAGATCATGTGTAAAAATTATGAAAATTAATTTAGTTATTTATCCCAAAAAAAAAAGGAAAAATTGCAATAAGGTTCAGGTTCTAGTCAGAGAATTAAATACAAAAATATTTTAAATCATCAAATTAATTTGAAGTTTTAAGCAATCTTGTTGCAAAAAATTTTATTTGTTGAATTGCTAAATAGGTTTTGTCTTTTTTTTTTTAAAGTATGTATTATAACTGAAAGTACAGTTATTGATAACTTAAAATGTAACGATTAATAGCTATCGTTAAAATATTGACAATTTATGCGTGATATTTTTGTGATGTGCTTGAAAAAATATGTTATTAATACCTGTTGCTATAGTTGTTAATCGTTCCACTTTAGGTTGTTAATGAGTGCTTTTTCAGTTGTTGATATATATTTAAAAAAAAAAGACAATTTGATAATTAAACAAATAAAATCTTTGCAACAGGGTCTCTTGAGATTTTAAATAATTTGATAATTTCAAAGATCTTTTTATATTTAATTCTCTTTAGTGGAACCTATTATAATTTTTCTTAAAAAAAGTGTTTTTTTCCCTAAAATATCCTCTAATATTTGTATTATTTCATAGTATATGCTACCGATGAGAAGGGTTCTAAAAATTAATAATTATGAGGATAAAAGTATATTAAGATTTTATATTTCAGGTCAAATTTAAATCCTAATTAGTTTCCATACCAGGGACTAGAAAAAGAGTTCCTCTTATTTTAGGAACACCGAAACATTCATGCCAGTTTCCCTAACTAAGACGAAAGCACGCAATAACTTGCAAAAGCATCCAGAAGATCAAAGCATAAAAGAAGAAAGAAAATAAAGCAAGTTCTAGTTGTGGAGATAGAGAACCGTTTTTAGCCATGAAATCTATTTGTGATTTTTTGTAGCTTTTGATTTGTGGAACAAGTAGCTCCCAATTGCAGCTTTATTTTATGATATCCTTCTCTTTGTGGGCGATCTTCTAGATTTAATCCTTTTAGGGATAATCCTAAATTTAAATTGAATTAGACCAAAAATAATATATTTCGAATTTTATCATCTGAAATCTTGACACATTCAATTTCTTTTATATTGTAAACTAACGTACTATCAAGCCGATTAAATATCATGAAAATTACTCACAAAAGCATGAATATTTGAGAATCAACACGCCCCTAAATTGTATCTTTTGGAATTGAAGTTATATTTTATGATGTGTGTACCAGGGTTATCTCAATTAAGCACAACATTATTCATCTCATCTGATTATGATCCCAAATAGTTGTATTAAAAAAAAAGAATTTAATTTAATTTAGATTTACCAGTCATTCGTATTCTTCATATCAAAATAATTACGACCTACTCATTCTTTTAATTTTTTACATGCTTATATATATTTAGTTTGAATAATTTGATTTTGATTTTTAAATTTGATCTTGACATAAAAGTTTTTACTCCCATATTGATAAGATATTTTAATTTTATGATATACATTTTTTAGCAAATAAAAAACCTGTTTTGGTCAGAAATCAGAATCCAACCTGTGACTCGTGAGTAATCATGTTATATCTATTTTTTGTGTTTAATGTGCCAATCAGATTACAGGAAGCCAGACAAAAACAGGATAAAGATAAAATCTAAAAACATCAAAATTTTCAGAACGATTTAAAAGATTTACTTGAACTAAAATTGACAACAGAATTTAAGAGAATCTATATATAGAGAAATTCTTTATATTTTCCACATAAGTATCTACAAAATGGGATAAGGTAGAAACAAAATCGAATAATTCATTAAGAGATTTTACCAAACAAGAAATTAAACCTAAACTATCTCACTGGAAAAAAAAAGGAAAATAAAATAAAAACTGAAATTTACATTGACAGCTCCAAATAACAAATCCTAACTGGATTTCTATTTGTTGCCGCAATTGAAAATTAAAAAAACAGAAAATTAAATTTACATTGCTCCACATATCAAATTTGCATATATAAATATATGCATATTCTTGAATGTCTGCACCAGGGATTCCAACAATGGTGAGGAAGGTGAAGTTTTGTTGGGGTTTGATAGCAGTTTTATCACTGTTTGGAGTAGTTTCTGGGAATTTTAATGGTGAATATATATCAGCAATTGGTGATCCTGGAATGACAAGAGATGGCCTCAGAGTTGCCATTGAGTCTTGGAATCAATGCAATGAGGTTGGAGAAGAAGCTCCCAACATGGGAAGCCCTAGAATGGCTGATTGCTTTGATGTCAATTATTTTGGTGAGTTTTCATTATTATTTACCTTTATTTTTCTTTGTTTTTTTTTTTTCCTTCTAATTTTTATACTTGCATTGTGCCTTTTGTTAACCTTCAAAATATACTTGGTTGATTTTCTGGAGTCTCTTTCACCAACCTCCTTTGACATGGTTCAAACTAAAATTCCAGGACATTTATAACTTTAACTCCTTAAAAAGCTTTATGAGAAATAAAAAAACTAAACGATTTTTATATCTGATTGTGACTTTAACAAAGAGAAAAGTTGGAAGGTTTAGACTTTAATGAAAATCAAGAACATTTCATGCTTTGATTCGGATCATCTTATGCTTAATCTATCATTCTGTTAGAGAGATAATAATGCAAAGAAATCTAGAAGTTTATGTTCAGAATTGCACATATTTCCCTTCTGTCATTCCAAAAGCACAATCCAGAAACACCCAAATTATAACACAAGTTATTAAAAGAATCCCATCTTCTGGAATTCCATACAAGCTATACTGCATTGAATTGGCAATTCTCAATTTCTGAATATGAAATCTTTATCCATAAAAAAACAGGGGATATCAAGCTAATTCACAAGGTGCGAGAATGGCAGAACAAGCTGGGCATATCCAACACACACTACCCAATCACAAACAAAAGTGCAGATCTCTTTGCAGCATGGAAAGAAATATACTTAGGCCAAAACTGTGAAGTAATAGACTTTCCAAGGCCATGGCAGTTCTGGATGATAATGCTTAAGAGTGGCAATATGGACACTTTAGCTGCCGTGTGCCCAGAAAATGGCAAAAAGGCAAAGCCTTTTAACCAAACCAGTAGGTTTCCTTGCTTTGGAAAAGGCTGCATGAACATGCCTTCTATGTACCACAATTACACCACACTGTATCAGAATGAGAATGATGGTAGCATGATGATGAAGGGAAGGTTCTACGGCTCATGGGATCTTGAAATTGATCAAGATGATGTGGATAAAGCAGTAGATATGAATGATACTTCTTATTACTCAGTAACTTGGGAGAAACCAGTGGCCAAGGGAAGTTGGGTGTTTCACCATTTGTTGAAAACTTCTTCCAAGTATCCATGGCTCATGCTCTATTTGAGATCAGATGCTACCTCTGGCTTCTCTGGAGGCTACCATTATTCCACAAGAGGCATGTCCAAAATTGTAAGTTCCTTTCACCTTCTTGTTCTTTCTGCTAGATCCAAACCCCCCCGGCTGGTTTCTTTTTACCATTTTAATTCTACAAATATCATAGAATTGGGCACATGACCTTGGTTCTTGATTTGCATGCAAAACTTTCATAGGTACCAAAGTCACCACGTTTCAAGGTAAGGTTCACACTTGACATAAAACGAGGAGGGGGTCCTAACAGCCAATTCTACCTTATGGACATGGGAAGCTGTTGGAAGAACGATGGTCGTCCCTGCGACGGTGACGTCACCTCTGACGTAACCCGTTATAGTGAAATGATCATCAACCCAGAGACTGAAGCATGGTGCAAGCCCACCAGACTTGACCAGTGTCCGCCGTATCACACCTTCGCAAACGGCACTCGGGTTCACCGGAACGACACCGTCCGCTTCCCCTACGACGCTTACCATGTGTACTGTGCTCCTGGCAATGCCAAGTACTTGGAGCAACCGGCAAATACTTGTGACCCGTATAGCAACCCACAGCCACAAGAGATTCTGCAGATTTTGCCCCACCCGGTTTGGGGCGAATACGGGTACCCAACCAAAAAAGGCGAAGGGTGGGTCGGGGACCCGAGAAATTGGGAGCTTGATGTTGGAAGGCTTTCTCAGTCACTTCATTTCTATCAAGTTAGTTCTCAAAGAATGAACTTTTCAAAGTTCTTTTTCTTTTTTTCTTTTTCAGGACTTGGAATTAAGATTTAGTGATGAATATTTGTTGATGCAGGATCCAGGCACAAGACCTGTGGAGAGATACTGGCCATCTATTGACTTGGGAACTGAAATCTACATCAGTAATGTTAGCGAAATAGCAGAATGGACAGTCAGCGATTTTGATATCATCATTCCAAAGCATGCTTATTGAACTCCCATGATTCAGACCCTGAGAGGAAGTTAGAATAAAAGCTCGGGACGATGGGTGTTTCTCCATCTTTTTCTTTTTCTTTTGGCCCCTCGCCATTGCAGTATTTGGAGTTCACTTCCACTTCATTATGTAATTCTTGTCAAGGATGACTTGAATTATATTTACTTCTTAGACTTGTACACCTGGTGCACAACTTTTATGCGGTTCTAAATTTATTTCTTAGGTGATTTGTGAAAGAGAGCAATTTCTGCGGGAGTGACTCATTCTGTAAAGGAGTTCTACCTCAAACTGCTGAGAATTCTTATCATTAAAATTAGTCTTGAAACTCTGATGCGGAGGCTTTCATGCGGTACTTGCAATGAGAGGGTTTTGTGTAGTACAGCAATCAAATCTAACATTTTTAGAACATTCTTGTCACAGATAATCCTTGAATCAAGATAACCAAGTTTTTATTGAACAATGGAATGATGTGAAAATATAATTTACAAATACAGAAATCTGAGAGGGGAATATGAAAACCAAACCCTAACCCCATCTAAAATTTAATCAGCTTCTTCCTTCCAAGTTCCAACTACTCCAACTACAACTACTGGCATTGAAGCCCTTAAAACCTAACTAAGACAACCCACACTAAAAAGCCCCAGAAGAATGTCTATGAGCTGCAATAGCCACTGCAGCAGCACCAACAGCACCAAACTGAGACTGTGCCTGCAGCAACTTAGCATCCATTGTGGTGGCAGCATCATCCATGTTATCTACCTTGGATTGTTGGAAGTAAGGGTTAGTGTTGAGGTCAATAGTTTGTCTGGCTAGTGAGTTAGCCTGCTGCTGGGATGGCTGTTTTCCCTGTGACAGATCCCTGCATGTCTCTGGCACAATCCTTGCTGGGTTTGTGGGTTGAGCCCTAAAGGGGCAGTGGGGAGATACCGAAGGAGGAAGAGCATTTTTGCTCAAGATTCTTGGATCATAGTTGCTTTTGACATTTCTCCCATTCTCGTAGGGTAGAACTGGCCCTACAACTTTGCCCGGTTTAGCTGTAAGAAGAAAGAAAAGCAGTTAATACAGTTAATATTTATATGGAGACAGGGTAGAAGTAGCCAAAAACAGATCATACTGGGCTTCGAATTATGTAGCTAAAATACAATAGGCTCCATCAATAAACAAAATCATGACCCTAACTAACAGATAAAATGATAATGAACTTCTGATCCTCCAAGGCAATTATATAAACTATCCTCCCGTGTACTTGTTTTTTGGTTACTTTGGCTCCAAGATTCAAACTCAAATCTTTCGACCTTGGAGGCAATCCTACCACTAAGCTAGACCTTGGTTGTTAAATCAAAAGATTTAAATGTGATTACAGAGGCAATCATTTATGTAGTTGTTATACCTGTTGGCACCCTTGGAGGAGGTCGTGAACCCCTTAAATGACTTTCAGAACTTGATTCTGTTGCTCTCAAATTCTTAGACACCTCCACTGGTATTTGCTTGTTCCCATATGCAGCGCCATGTGTATAAGGAGGAATTGGGCTAGAATGAACAGTGGACCTTCAAAATGAAAATTTTTCCTCAATAAATGCTGCTAAATTAAACATGTAGACATGCAAACGGAAGCCAGAAATTAATGATACAAGTGCATGTCAGTCTTACCTTGGAAGAGAGGCATGCTTCCTTTCTGGAGGAATCACTGGGCCACTTTTACCACCATTTTCCTCAAAATAAGCAAACTGCTTTCTGAATTGACCAATTGCACTGCAATGGAGTACATGTCGGTAAATTACATGTTCAGAACATAAACATATATTAACCATGAAACTACATTAAACCAACCAATAAATAAAAATAAAAAGACAGCAGGCGTAATGTACCATGCGCAAAAAACATACTCTTTACCTAGGACAGAGGAAATTTGTGCTTTCAGTTCCATTCATGTAATCTTTAAGCAACTGAGGGTGATATTCAAGTATCTCCCTATATATTAGTTCCCTAACATCTTCTTTAGTCACCCTTCGCCTCTCAAACTCAAATTCCAGCTTTGAAATTGGCTGACAAGATGGTTCTCTCTCGACCTTACCCAAGCCCTTAAAGTATGGATCAGCTAGTGCCTGCCAACCATACAGAAAAATCAGTTCCTGTCAATTCATACTGAAACAAAAAACTTCTTTTCCTAATAGACCCAGGAGCTAACATATGACCAAATATGTATGATAGCTGAACAGATACCTCTTCAGCAGTTGGACGATCCTTAGGATCAAATGCCAAAAGCCTTTGCAATAGGCGAAGTGCCAATGGATCAGCATTTGGAAATTTCTGTTCAAATGGCACAGGAGATTTTTTCCTCATTTCTGTCAAGTACTTCCTTGCCTTTTCATTACGAACCTGCAAAATTAAATATAAGTTTCAATTACTCACCATATTAGTATCCAAGTTTACATGAAGGGAACATGGTAAGAAACGAAATAATCTAGAAAAACGGAAAAGAAAGTAGTCCATACTCCAGAAATAGTCTCCAGTGTTGGTGTCCCAAGAAGATCAGTAATCAAATCTAATTGATGCACAACGCTTTTACCAGGGAACAACGGCTTTCCTGTAAGCACCTCAGCAAAGATGCATCCAATGCTCCATATATCAATTGCTGGTGTATACTGCAAACACAATGGTATCAAAATCAGACTATGAAAGAAGGACAACTACACACTGCAACCAAGCCACTCCAGAGGAATAGACGTAACCTGACACGTTTACCTGAAGGACAGATAACTCAACTTGCAGGAGAGATCAATAGTCCTTCCTGAACAAGAATTGTTATAATCTAGGCATTATTGTTTACTATAAATCATACAGACCTTGTTTCATACAGAAATTAAAGCATAACTTTTAAGTCAAGCAAGCAACACTTATTTTCACAATCACACCTCCTCCCTTTTGGGTTCAGTAACACTGGCCTTGTAACATACCGGAAAGAAAAATCAACCCAAAAAGAGATAACATGGTGCTGACTTATTAAAATCATATAAACTTCCACGGTTCTATGATTCCTTGCTCAAGCCTAATTTCCTTCACATATGTGCCTACAGTAAAGGGGTCAGGTCCTACAAACATTTCATGGCAAAACGTAAGAGGATGCCTTGCTTACAATTCGATAATCTTTTCATCATCCACAGCCAGACATCTAACATGGACATACCACTTTTTAAACTGCACAGATGGCCACATAGCGGATAGGCCTTCAGAGACTATAACCTAAGTCATAGGATTCTCAAGAATATAAATGTTAGCCAAATTATACCTTAGAAAAGAATGATCCACACAGCTCTGGAGCTCTGTACCATCTTGTAGCCACATAATCCTGCAGGACGTACCAAAATCAAGCTATGATAAGCCTCACTGGACCTGATAAAGCGTGTAAAAACAGTTATAACTTCTATAAGCTTTATTTGCCAATTTGAAGTGAATCAAACTACATACTGTCCAAAATATTGTTGTTGGGGCATCATTGAATGCAACTCTGGCCAGTCCAAAATCACAAACTTTGAGTTTGCAATTTGCATTTGCCAATATATTCTTGGGTTTAAGGTCTCTGTGATACACATTTGCTGCAACCAGATGCAAGCTTGTTTAGAACTTACAAGTACTGAAACGGTCAATTCAAGATACAGCTGGCATATTTTGTGAAAAGCATCCAATGAATAGCAAGAATTGACATAAAAAGTCAAACAAGTGAAAGAGAAAATTAGAGAAACAAATACCTGTATGCATGTACTTCAATGCACGTAGCATCTGGTAAAGGAAAAACTGATGGTGCTCACGTGTCAAGTCATCATTAGCTTTGATGACTTGATGGAGATCAGACTCCATCAATTCAAAGACGACATAAATATCTTTAAACTCCCTCTTTGAAGGTGGCAACATGATGCGCTTAATCTCGACAATATCAGGGTGTCTTAATAGCCGTAGCAGCTTGACCTCGCGGAGAATTCTAATGGCATCAGATATATGCTCAAAAATATCATGAATCTTTTTTATTGCAACTTTTTCCCCAGTGTGCTTGTCAATTGCGGCACAAACTACTCCATAGCTTCCTTTTCCTATAGCTTCAAGAATCTTATATCTATTTGCATCCCCATACTCAGTGAAAAAGTCCAATTCTTTAACATCCTGCACATCAATAGAACGTGTAAAATTGTATGTTCTATTAGAACTAATTACTAATGAATGAAACTAAGGTCAGGTCACCTGGAAAACTAGAATTCGAATAAACCAGATCCAAATTCCAAGTGGGAGTAAGAATTAACCAATTGTTTTTTTAATTTAACAAAGCAGCACACAAGGCAATTGATGTTCCCGAAACAATATGATTTGAAAGCCGAAGTAAAAAAACCATCAAGTAGGTCTTTAATGGGGGGAAAAATGAACGAATTCTAAAAACATAAAGATTTCAAGAACAAATGAAATGCACAGAATCAGTGTAGTAGATTTTTCAGAAGTCAATGTAAATGAGAATTTACGCTTTAAAATTCTAATCAACAAAATTTTGCAGGACATAATTCAATCTGACCCCCGATCAAAATTTTAAAACTTAATATAAAATTACGATAAGACCGATCAACATCGAAAAGTCAGAAGCAGAGAATCCCCTACTGCACATTCAAGAACTTTATTTGAGGCCAACGCATATTCAAGAACCACGACAACGAAAGAAAAGAACTTCTTTACATCAAAAACCCCGCCATCCTTCGTTTTTCACAGATATTTATAAGTATTCCTTCCTTCAACTTCAGGGCCCGAAATTCCAGTCTCTTATCATTCCCAACACTTCGTCAGTTTATAGCACATCAACAAGGTCTACTAACAGAAAGACAGTCGTGAATTGGAGCAAGAAACAACCTTCTTGAGCTGATCTCGCTGCATCTTGGTCAAGGTCTTCTATTTGCAATTCCCCTTCTCTTCTTGGACACAATCTTTATAACCTTTCAGCAAATAGATCAAGCAGAAGGCAAAGTCTTCGGAGTAAAACTAGCCGCATTCACCCCACCTCGACCTACTTCGAATCACAAGCCCAGAATCCCTTTCCGCACTCCGCTTGAAACCACACATACATCAATCGCAAGCGAACTCCTTCCTCATACACCCACTGAAAACCCCAGATCAAAGATCGAACAAA